CCCCCCCCAAGGCAGCTACTGGATTTTGCAATCTGTACTTCATGTGAAGTTGTGCAACTTTTCAAGCCACTTCCAAAATAGTAAAGAAATTGCTTTTTCCCCTTCTTCCTAAGGCAGAGGCTATGGCCAAAGCCACAAAGAATAGCACTGCTCCAGTTAAAGGGCTTTTGGATTTCTTACGGTACAGCTCCATAAGCATGGCACTCCATTCTGAGCAGAAATGCCTACAGGTGGTCGGCTAGGAGAGAGCTTTTACCGCACATTTTACGTGAGATTTTGGATTCTGCTGTGTTGCTGGGTGAAAAGGGTGACAACTCCTTCAGTCTGATGCAGTTAAGACTTCAGAAGCACAGCCTGACTACAGGCAGTCTTTGTGTTAAATGTTAGCTAATTTGTGCATAGAAACCCAAAGCTAATGCACTGGTAAAACTAGTCTAGAGTTGAAAAAAAAAAAAATTGCTTGTTCTTTGAGTGAGGGTACACAGCAAGAATGTCCTACATGGTAATGAGATCCCACTACTTCTATAAAGTAGCCTTTCCAGTTACTTGGTTTTTTTTTTTTTTTTAAAAAAGAGTGTGTGTTTCCTAAAAAATGCTTGTGTAGCTGAAACTGTCAGTTACTGCAATCGGTTTAGATTTTGCAGTAGCACAGTTCCTTTACTAACTTAGGACTTTTATAGGGAACTTCCAGAGAAAGCTGGTTAGTTCTGAAATTTTCAGAGAGAGGTTTCCCATGTAGTACTATCTTCTGGCTTAATTTTCATCCATTTCTTTAACAGGTATGGCAGATACAAGTGTGAAAAAGGAACTACTGGCATTCTCACAGAAAACATAACGCTCCTGGACATTGAGGTGGTGGATGAAACTGTACAAACCATGGACACTTCCTGAGCGGTGACGCGCAGCCCTTCTGTGGTGCTGGAGCCCAGCACGAGTTATGTTGAGAAGCCTCCCAGCATCAGGAGGAACAAAGAATAAAGAGGGTTCTGACCATTCTCCCAAGTAGTGTGTTTATGTGGTGCTGATTGCTGCTGCTGCTTTTCCCTTCTTACACTGTTGAAAATGCAAGGCCGGTGCAGAACACACCTGCAGCAGCCTGACTGCTCTTTGTAGTGTTGTGGGCTGTGGCAGGAAGTTGGATTTGACCCTACAGGACCTGTATCATCAGGTGAGAGAGCGCCAGGCTCCTGGAGTGGGCACCAAGCATCAAACTGCCCCCCCAGGTACAACAGCGGTTTTGTTACCTTGCTCTAGGAACCAAACAGCAAGGGTAAAACTATTCTGCGTAAGCCCAATTTGATGGGTTTTAATTTAACGTAATGTTCTTTCCTTGATGGATACATACCAGCTCAAGAAAGGGTATGAAAATAGTGAGCAGTGGAGGTTCTGAACTGCTAACCTTGACCGACAGCAGACTGCTGCTACTTACGTTATCGCAGGGAAGAACACGGTTACTGTGATGTGTTAATACTTATTCTTCCCTGGGTTTTGGAGATAGGGACAGGAGAGAGAGCAGATCCAACCTCCATGCTGGTACATGCATCTTCATTTCTAAACTACATGACTGAAGATAGCATAATTGAAAGCCTAATTGTTACTTGCCTGAGTTTTTCCACAAGCTTCCACTTGGACCTTCTTTGTGCTAAAATCCTGAGCTTGTACTATTTGCGATAAACTGATTTCAAACTCTTTCATACAGTACCACATAATCCTTATTAAAAAAAACACAACCAAGAAAAGCTAGCTGAAACTCCACCTACAGAATTATTTTCTCATTTAGTCAAAAGGGAAGGTGCAAGAGGTAAACTGGTACCAGTCCTGAGTCTTAGCATCCTGCAACAACCATCCACGCAAACCAGCTGCAGATGTGCCGTAAGTTACAGGGTAAAGGTGCTTATGCACAGTTTTCCATCAGGACACTGATGTGGTTTATGTCATCCATCCATTTTCTGACAGCTGTAAGGAACAGTTTCACACACATTTAGGACTGTTTTCAGTGGGGTGTGGGTGGTGGTTGGTTTTTTATTTATTTATTTTTACTTTAATACTGGATTTTTTTTTTTTAAACAAAGGTGTTTATTTTGTAAATCATTTTTTTTATTTATCTAAAAATGCACAATTGCAAAAAAAAATTACCTTTTGAAATGCATTTACTTATAAGCACTAATAAATTCTATGTAGCAAGAAAGTGACCAGACCTGGCAAGAGACTCGAATTTAAGCCGAGCTTCCCTGGAAGCCAAAGCTCCTTTTCCGTGTTACACCAGGAGAGGCGCAGCACAGCCATCCCGCTGAACCTGTAGCTGCCACCATGGCTTAGAGGAAATCTGCAGTGTAGGAGTGACAGTCTTCGGGCTTAAGCCTAAGGACTGCTAGAGAAGCTGGGTATAAATTAAACCAGTTAGCATAGGAACCTGGGAAGCAATTTGCTGCCTCCCCGACATTCTCATGCTGATTTGAATTTCCTGAATCTCTCATGAGAGCAGCAGGCTCAACGTTCTGCTGAGAAGCCTCAATAAAATGGCACCTTGCATTAATGATACCAACATTATTCACAGCAATTAATAGCTTTTCTTTGCTACCCTATATAAGTACTTGGGAATTTGACAGGAAGCAGTTGAAGATGGCACTGCAGTTTTCCTTTAAGTAGAGCAAATTAGGTTTTTTTTTTAAAAAAAAAAAAATTTCCACTAAAAGCATATATATGTATGTAACCCTCTAACCCTAATCTTATTTCAAAAAAAAAAAAAAAAACCAACAGGATTGTATGCTTTTCTTAAGAAAAAAAAACAAAAAAACCAGAAAAAAAAAACCCCAAAACCAGGCACAGGCTGCATTTGAACTGTCACACGCAAATCTGCATTTTGGCATTAGCCACTGTCACACATGGAAGCAGCGCTGTAACCGTACAGGCTAATTTATTTCCCCCGCTGTAGTCCTCAAGAACGTTAAGTGCAGCCCTGTTCCGCTGAACAGGCAAATGAAATGGAAACACTTGAACGTGAATCCATGGTTGTTCCTAAAGCAGTGACTGTTTTTTTTTTTCCCCATCGACAGTAATGAAACAAATCATTGATTCAATGAATGAATTTAGTTGAAAAATTTGCATGTAGTTAAAGAAGATGACTCCTTCAAATCAGGTTGAGATTTTATAAAAATTCACATTCTGTAAATTAGCTTTCACAGTTAAATAGACAGGGGCTGATCGTTATTTGGAATTATTAGATACACAAAGCATTTTGGAAATTTTTAAAAAAAGGAGTGTTTAAAACACTGCTTTGCTTCAGTTTTACCTATAGTACCTAAGGTACTACTGAACGTGTAAAAGTATCACCTTCACCAAAATCGAGTTGGCTTAGATAGATAAACACTGGTTTTTAACAAGAACCTGTAGTCTAAAAAGAACCATGCCAAGTGGGAAAAGAAGTTTAAAGAGAAACAATTTGCAGAAGCAGTGCTTGTTTTGGGCTGGTTTGGCATGTTTGTCGTCTCTTTTTCCCCAGGTACATGCGTAACTCCTCTCACTGGCTGTAGCCAAGTTAACAGATAAATGTATCAGCAAAATACTTACTCTAAATTTTCAATTAAGAATAAGAAATCTTGAAACACATGTGTTTCCCCACCCCCCCCCCAACCCTTCCCAGTTCCTAAGTCTGAAGAGGAGGGAATTAATAAAAACACATAAATGGCTGCTTTAAAATATACGAAGTAAAAACTGAATTTGCTATTAACCATTTGCAGAAGAGGCAAAGTAGCAGTTATACAAATTACACAAAATCTACCATAATTCTTACATTAGTATAAAGTGATTTCACTGAAGGAATTATTTCAGTATTTCACATTACAGTTAAGATAGAAGGGGTGTGTCAAATGCTCGGACACCCTTGTTAATGTCATCTATCCTAGGTTACACACGACAGTTTTAAGAAAGGACCCTTAAATGATCTACATCTGTAACATGTTATTGGCCTTAAAAAAAAAAAAAAAAAAATCACTTGCAATACCTCACAGAATCTTCACTTTAAAGCATGACCACCTTGTAAGAGTCCTTGGCAAATAACCTGCAGAAATAAAGGAGCACCTTGCTACGAGTGCTCAACCCTCTCGCTTGTGTGACTAGGCACCGGGCGGTTTCATCTGAGAAAAAAAAATTCAAGTAAGACTAAGCTGTGCTGGCTTCTTGCGAGTGTGTGCAGATGGTTCATGTGCTGGAGGTCCAAACATGCATTTGTTTTGCTATTTGGTGCACGTAACCAATGTCGGGTCTTTGATCTGGATCTGGGTATATGCACATGCTGACCAGCTCCCGCAGCTGAAAGAGAGGAACACAGGCATGCAAATGTGAATGAGTCGGCTGATTCCTTGCTGGAAAAGGCTGTGGGAACGTTCGGCTGACCACTGGAGTCCAGGGCAGGAGCTGGGACCCTCTCATGCAGCCGTTCTGGGCAGACGGCAGGCACACGTCCGTCTGTCCCATCCCGTGTCCCCCCACCCTACAAAAGGGCCAGGAAGAACCTTTTCCACCAAACCTCAGCACTGAAGGGTTAAATCCTCCACACAACCCAGTGGATTTTACATCATCATTTACAACGCGCTAGTAGCGCATACATACCCAGGGGTTCCCTGCTCAGCGGTTTAGTGTGGCTCATCCGAGAATGCAACCACCACCTCTCATCTGTTACTCCAGACACTTGGGAGTTTCAAA